AGAGCTCTATAGATGCCCTTTGCCTCCCAGCTCTTTCCTCTATTTCCCTTGATTCTCCTCCTGGACACCTGGCAGCATAGTGGTTATGCATTGGGCTGCTAACCACGAGGTCAGCAGTGTGAAACCACCAGTTACTTTGCAGGAGAGAGATGAGACTTTAAAAAAAAAGATGAGATTTTTCTACTTTGAAAAGTTACAGTGTCAGAAACCCACAGGGCAATTCTACCCTGTCCTCTAAGGTTGCTATGAGTTGGAAATGACTCAATGGCAGTGAGTTTGGGTTTTTTGAGCTGGACAGGGATAGGACAGACCATGTTATCAAAATTTGCCTGAGAAATGCAAGCAAACTCTGTAATGCTAATGCCTCCTCCGATGGTCAGTGTACTATGGGGACCAGATGATGTTGCTCCCTTCCTCCTCTGTTCCCTGTTCCCGTGAGTCTCCCTGGAAGGGTATTGACATCTCAAAGGGTATGATCTTGGCATTTTTATTATCATCTCCCCGTGAGTCAGAATCCGCTTAATAGCAACAGGTTTAAAGCACTTAGCACCATGATTTGCATGCAGTAGGTGCTCAAAAATAGTCTACTCTGCGAATGAACTTTTTCTTTTACGTCAGCATTGCAACCTTGTCAATAAGGCCTGAAAAGAAAAAAGACCAGTTGCATAGCAATTTCAAGATTGTGGGCTTACAGCTGTGGTTTTGAAAAGGGATACTCTAAAAAAAGCCAACCTCTTCAGAAGAGAATGTCCAAGCCAGACTCTAGAGACTTCTCAAAGAGTCCTTTGTTTAGTGATTTCAAGGTGGGCTCCCTCGCAGACTTTCAGGTTGCCATGGTGATGGCTTGTTTTTCTTTAGAAATGATATTTGCTTGTAATCTCAGAAGTCTGCTCAGTAAATGAGCACAGGTGATTTGGGAGTGGGGGTGGGGGTGGCTATGACAGCTTAGAGGCCTTGCTGCCCTACAAAGGCCTCGTTGAAGAAGAAGGTCATCTGAAGACAAAGGCCATTAGTGGGAATCCTGGGGCCCCCTCCTCTGAATGAGGCTGTGTTAATGCGAGGAAAGGAAAAAGGGGTTAGGTCACAGGGTTCAAAATTCAGGTTTAGCACGTGCACATAAGTGTTGTTGCTTCTAAATAACACTTTTGAACAGTGCAATTGTATTTCGAAGTTGCTATAGTCCATGGACATAGAATAAATCACTTACAGAACTCAACAGAGCAGCTTGAAATATTTCATAGGACCAGTGTTCTTTATCTGAATAAATGCTTCTTGAGGGAAGGGACCATATCTTAACTTTTCTTCGGTAGCACTGTACCCTGTCTCATCTGCAAGAGCTCTCTTCTATATCCTTCTGCCTGACCTTACTTAGTGTTACCAAAATCATCTTTCTATATAATTTCTTTCTTAGCGTGACTTCCTATCAAAGCATATCATAGTACTTCTTTGTCAGTTTGAACACAGACCAACCCTTCAGCCTGATACTAAAATCCTTTCCAGATCTAACTTACTTTCCCACCACTTCCATAATAGACTCTAATCTCAGACCTCCTGGAGTACTTATCTTGCATTTCTTGAGTACACTCTGCAAGACCATTTTTTTGGTGGGATTTTTACTTCCAACTCCCTCCACCCATATTTGCTTATTCTGTGCCTTCCCTCTGGAATGTCTTTCCCTCACCCTATAATCTCTAGCTAATGAAATTCTTCCCATCCTTTAAATCTCATTTAAATGCTACCTCAGTGGGAAATGATCTTTTGGTGTTGTGAATTCCTTTAGCCTTTTCTTCTAATCTTCTTTTCATCCTCCTGGGGCTTAATGCACAGCCTCCTACAGAGATATGCAAATATTTGTAAAATCATACATGAACTATAGGTTGATTGACAAATATTCCAAAGCCATACAGTCAGAAACAAAGGTCTTGAAGCAAGATTGGTCAAGAGGGATTCTGTATACTGACATCAGTTTTTTTATCCTATTATACAAATAGAAGATATTGGGAAAGTTGGGGAGGTGATCATCTGAAGGGAAAAACAAAGAAAGAAAACAAGAAGAGGAGCATTACGTGGGAAAGATTTCTGAGGAGACCTTGCTTGTCTGAACTCAGGAACACAACAGAATGCCCAGATAAGGACATTGGGACCTAAAATGTATGGAATATCGTGATCATTTTGGCCTTTCATATTTCTTCACACCACTCAGTGTATCTCAGATACTTTGTCCAAAATCTCAGGGCCTTCATCACCACCTCTTACATGAAGCCTGCTACCCTGATGCCAATGAGAGTAAATAATTGACAGAAGGAAAGAAAACCAGCATGTATTCCCTTAAGACATCCCACACAGAACTCTAGAGTTGCTTAAATCTTATAAGATGATAGACAAAAATCTCCTTCTAACCTGTATGCTATATAGTGTGTGTGGTACAAACAGCTCAGTTTCTACCCAAAAAGCTACAGGTTGGAGTCCACCTACAAGCACTTTCAGAAGAAAGCCTGGCGATCTACTTCCCACAGCACAGCATTGAAGACCCTACAGACCGCAGGTCTCCTCTGACACACTGGGTAACCAGGAGTCACAATCATCTCGAGAGCAACTGGCTATAAAAGAAACTCCCCGAACTCACTGCCCTCGTTGATTCTGACTCAGGGACCCTGTGGAACGCGCTAGAACTGCCTCTGTGGTTTCCTAGACTGCAGCGCTTTATGGGTATAGAAAGCCCGGTTTCTCTCCGAGGAATTGGCAGGTGGTTTCGAGCTGCTGACTCTGTGGTTAGTAGCCAAATGTGTAACCCACAAGGGTTCCTCTAGGAAAACGAAGCTTATAAAATCCAATCCCAGCCTTAGGGAAAAAAAAAAACTGCTTTTGTTGACTCAGATCTTACATAAATAATTCATTTTTGAAGGACACTGCTTTGGACTACGTGATGGTCAAACTTACAGACAGCTTCAAAATTAAAACCAAAAAGAAAAAATATTTGTGAACATGTATGCTATTTAATAACTCTTCAGAGAGAAAAATACATACAATGGATTTCTGCTCCACAGGTAATTTTTATTTGTTGTGAAATGATAATATAAACAAAGATTCGTGAACTATGGGAATGCTTACCAAACCAAGTGCAAGTGTCATTGAGTTGATGCTGACTCATAGAGCCCTTATAGGACAGGGTAGAATTTCCCCGTGGGTTTCAGAGACTGTCACTCTTCACAGGAGCAGAAAGTCTCATCTTTATCATGTGGAGCAACTGGCGGTTTCTGCATTGCTCACAATGCATTGGGCAGCCCAACTAGTAACCAGTACATCACCAGGTCCCCTGGGTGTAGTATAAACAAACTCAACTGCCATTGAGTCAAGGCCAACTCCTAGTGACCCTACAGGACATGGAAGAACTGCCCATGTGAGTTTCCAAGACTGTAACTCTTTATGGGAGTGGAAAGTCCAGTCTTTATTCCTCAGATGGGTTCGTGGTTTCTCACCACTGACCTTGCAGTTGGTAGTTGAACTCATAACCACTACTCCAGTAGAACTACTGTCTAGTATGTTCTAGTAAAGTGCTAATGGCAGGAGGAAGTTCAGTGCATAACCCCTTAAGGACCTTGGCATGGTAGCCCAAAGCACCCTTCAAATCTA